TAGAAGAATTAGCATTAGTAGGCGTTGCCGATAACAGCCGTTGGAAGACGCTAAATCTCAAGGAGGTTACACGATCGTATAACGTCACGACATAAGGCAGAAAATATGCAACACAAAAAGAACAGTATCCTTAAGAAATTACTCTTAATTTCCCACAGCAATGGCAAATGTGATCAAAAGATCTGTCACTTTTGCAAAGTCTTTTGACAATTGGTATTGATCAGGAAATTCTGCTGATCACTACTGTTATACAGTATGTTAATTATAATCTTATACTTAGATATTTTGTGCATGAGCCCCAGCTGTGTCACTCCAACAAACTTTCATCAGTTTTATTATTATTATTATTATTATTATTATTATTATTATTATTATTGTTATTATTATTATTATTATTATTATTATTATTTTAATGCACCAGCCAAATGTAATAGTAAATGTTCACTTTATTTGGTTTGTTGCAGCGTGCCCCACAGAACACAATGTAACAATTGGAAGTAGTGTCGCTATATAATTTTGGAAATTATATAGCAACACAAATTATATACAACATATACACAGAATATTTATTGCAATTTTCAAGTAATGTCCAAAGCTATCATGAAAATAATGGAGCGTTTTGTTTTCCTATTAATTTTTTTCCTGAGCCTGTACCTTTTGATGGTTATTTTTAATATAATTTTTTACCATCTCCAAGTTTACTCAATTATCGAAATATATCTGTACAGAACTAGAACCAAACCAATTCCACCAACCAAATAAATTCAAAGTGTTAAACCATTTCTATCAAATTCTCGTCTTCCTGGCACTTGATTATATTCTCATCAGTAACTTCAAGAACTTTCATTTCCCCAGTGGGGTCAGGCCCTTGGCCATATGCAAAGGATTGATAACAGTTATCAAGTGAATAAAAATGTGTCTTCATCCTAAGTTTACCAGAAATTCCTATATATATAAAAAACGTAATATGTTAAATAAAATTTTTAAATAACTCATAACTTAAACATTATAATACTTTCATACCTGTAGTCCAAAACCAAGTCTGAACTATCCAATTATTTTCCAGGGCCATTTCTACCAAGAGTTTATAATCACGATCCCCAGTAACCAGAATTAATATTAATATACCAGGGTCATTAGTAGTAATAGTCTTTATATTTACTGCACTAACTGCAAACTTTATCTTGACTTCCTTTTCATGATGTGATATAGGATCCTGATCAAACACAGTAACTTCATACCCTTGTTCTTGAATATTTCTCCATATTAATATAGAATCATTTGGTGGAGGATGTGAGCCAACAATAATAAATAACAGGAGCACATCCCAGTTTTAAGTTTATGTCCATGCTGAACAGTTTTAAGAAATCAATACAAAGTTGACTAAAGTAACATGTATTTCTTTCATAATCAAATGATCAAGGTTGACAACAGTATATTTTCCCTCAATAGTGATATTAGAGTTGTCAACAAAAATGTACACAAGATATTAGGAGGAAATGCTTTTGAAATTTTCTTAATCAACTGTGCAACTGTTATTGCTGGACCAAGCAATAGCCCAATATTTCTGAGCTTTTCTTCTGTCAATAAAAGGAAGGCTGAACCAGAAATCTTGTTCCTATTGATTGTATTAATGTCAACTTCTTCAAGTTCTAACTGGTCTTTTTTGGGCTCCAAAAATTTAATAACTTGTTTCTTCTTCCATTTCTTGATTTCTTCAACAGAAAGAAAATGTTTTTTGGTATTATCATAGCCCAGGTTTTTTTTTTAAATTTTTGGACACTTGAGAAACTTGTACTTGCCAAATTGATTGGCAAGCTTAGTATGTTATTCAATAAGACCTAATTCTCGAAGGTGTTTCAGAATAACTACATACATGTCTTTGTAATACCAGACATACCTTAAAATGATCCAATTTTCGTCACACAATTCATTCTTGAGTTAATCCTGTGCTTGCTGTTTAATAAAATTATTGGAATCACCTTCATGAAAGAATTTGTGATATTTTCATGTTGTACTTTGATTGCAAATCCATATTGTGGCTAAAATATATCAAGTTTTAGTGTTCCTGTGTTTTTAAGAATTCAGGCCTGCAGGTTAGTGAAGGAGATAGGAGAGCCAAGATATTCTGTTAAAAGTTCATGACATAACTTTTCTCTTTTATATTTAGGGCAGAATGGACACCAGCTATTTCGATCTTTAACAGCATTAAATGTTGCATATCATATATGTCCTTTAACACATTTCCATAATATAAATAAGCCAAACGATTATTAATAAAATTTTCAGAAAGACATGATCCATTTCTATTATAAGCCACTTGTTTAGCATCTTCAAGTGTACAAGGTTTATTAGTCATGCAATATGGACACTGTCAAGCCAATATTCCTGGGAGAGTGGCAGAATACTGACCTTGTTTGATATGCATTTCTTTGATCCTACAGTCAAATTGCCTATGTCCCATTTTTCCACAATAATAGCAATGCATTAGCATGGTTGTCTATGTCTAACACGCTCTGGTCTCCTCCATTGGTTTTGTTGATTTTGTTCTTTCTTTTCCAACCTCTGGAGCCTTTCCTTCAGCTCTTTATTTTCTGCTGTCAGTGCCTCATTAACTTCATTGGTTGCCATTGATGGTTCTGGCTGCATTTCTTCCTTCATGGCTCTATAGTGCGCCTTAGCTGTGGTAATTGCTGCATTCAGGTCAGCAGGCATGGTCTGCTTAACTGACATCCTAATGGCTGGAGTTAACCCACTAAGGAAATTCTTGAGCTTATGGTAGTCAGTCATTTCGTTAGGGTTGCATTCTTGCCAAATTTTCCTTAACACTGCAATGTACATATCAATGGATTCTCCTGGTTTCTGAATCCATCTTTCAGCAATAGTTAAAGCTTCTTCCTTAGTTTCATTGTTGAAGAAGTCTGCGATGAAATATTGCTTAAATCCTTGAACATTTCCATTGGCATTATCCCATTGTACTATGACTGGATTATGATTAGCTAACCAGCTTTGAAAAGGTCCCATATGGTAGGATGCAATGCCATAGCTCCTTCTAATTGAGCTAGCCACGACTTAGGATTAGTACCATCAAAAACTGGATAGGGTACTGTAGCCATGTCTTCTTCTTCTTCTTGTTGTGGTGGAGGATTATTTGGTGGGTTGTTAGGCGGGTTATTTGGCGGATTATTAGGCGGATTGACTGGTGGTGCGGGATTTGGATTTGGTTGTAAGTTCGGTTCTGGTTGGACTTGTGGTACTGGTTGGGCTTGAATAACAGGGTTTTCTTCTGGTTCTGGTTCTAGTTCAACTTCCTGTTCTTGTTCGTCTTGAACTACTAATATTTGTTCGTCTTCTTCGTCTTGTTCCTGTTCGTTATCTAACTCAACCTCTTCTTGGTCGTCAGCCTCAGTTCCTTCTTCAGGGGTTGGTAATGGGTTCTTTACTTGTTTGACTGTGTTTTCTGAGTCTTGGGAACCTTCCTCTTCGAGGTCTAATTGGTATTCACGATCTGCTTCTTTCTCCCTGATTGGTCCGCAGTAAAAAATTCGTTGGGAGACTTTCTGGTCTACTTTCTATAGTATAGAAATCTTGGTCGGTGTGACTAGTAGAACTAAAAAATGTAGTTTTACTACCAGAGGCTTGAGCTGATCGTTTGCCTTTACTATTGTTTTTCTTTTGGTATTCGTCAAACTTTTCTTTTATATACTTATCCGCTTCGTTCTTAAGAGCAATAAGTTCGTGATACGTTAATTCTGGATGATGGTCTGGATTGTATGGAACTGGAGCTTCCCCTGTTGATGCTAGAGCCTTTAGTAATTCGGCTACGTTTTTCGGTGGTCGGATGAATGCAGTGGTAAGTAAGAGAATCTGAGCTGAGCGATAACGATGTTGGCTCCGTTCGTGATTTTCGAACGCTTCTGCTGTAGCTTGGGAAACTTTAGGGCCAAAGACTTTTAATTGTCGATAATACTGCTCGAATTCGTAATTAGATCCTTCTTGGTAAGGGTAACAGGCTATGCACGCGTCGGTTCTGAAATGTCTTAGAGCTCTTCTCTTTATCGGGTGCTCGTTGGGTAATTCGCTGTGTATATACGCGTGTTGGTGATAGTTATTTCTGTTTTCTAAAATTTGGTCGTGTAATCTTTTGTTTTCTGCCAGGGTTGCGAATTAATCTTTCTTGACTATTTCGTTGTTTTCGGGAGAGCGGCGGAATACTGACCTTGAGATTTAACTCTTTTCAGGCGGAACCTTTCGGCAATTCCTACTCGAATTAA